TAGTTTTTTATTTCTGAAAAAAATTTACTAATATTGACCAATTCAACCTAAACATTATTTAAATTATGAGTCACAGAACTTAGTATGGCCTCATCATTGAGATTCACAAAAACGGTCAGGCTCAGAGAGAGTTCTGGATTCCTCTGCCTGCCACACCCGCTGTGTAAATGATCACAGCAGGCCCTCTCTGGCTCCTGCCCTGTGCTCTGCTGGTGAAGTGCAGTGTGTTTATCACATTTGTGCCTTGCCCAGCATCTCCTGGAGACACTCCGTGTCCAGTGAAATTTGATCCCTCGAGCACTATTCCTCTTGCTTTGGAAAATGATGGAATGAAGCAAGTAACCAATAAATGTTAGGTGGTGGTGTTTTTGCTGTTTTTTTTTTTTTTTTTTTTTTTTTTTTTTTAAATGCTATAGGGTGCGTGTGCTCACCAGAAAGACAGAGACAGAGAGACAGAAAGTGAAAAATCACCTCCCCAGGGAAGATGACTACGCCACAATCTCTTCTCCTCCATTCTCCTCTTGGGATCTTGGACACGCATACACGCACACACGCACGACGTGAGTTTAAGCCACCGGGTCCGGGACTCGAATTGTGATCAACTACATGGGAGTCCAGTGACATAGCCATTATGCCAACTGCTGGACTTCCTGTTTTTTTGCTGTTATTATAAAGGCTTGGCTGTGTCCATTTAGGTTAAGAAGATCCAGAGGGTGATAAACCTGTTTCAAGATGGAAATGTAAAATATAGGGTGGGTGGTGGCTGCGACTTATGACCTGTAAGGGGTCATGTGTAGCCTTATGTCAGAACAGGCAAGTACTCCAGAGATCTTGGTATTTCTCCATGACATCTTTGCCTTTATATTTAAGACTGTAATCATCTGATTTGACTACTTTTAAACTTTACTTTGCTATTATAAACAGTGTTTTGGTAGTCTCCAGCTTCTCATGTAAAGCAAAAGGAATCTCATTGAGCAGACAGCTCACTGCAAGCCATGGGTTAAAGCATAGCTTTTTTTTTTTTGGAGAGGTTTTTGCTATAGGGCGTGTGCGCTTGCCAGACAGAGAGAGACAGAGAGACAGAAAGTGAGAAATCACCCCCCAGTGGGATGGCCATGCCGCAATCCCTTCTCCTCCGTTCTTCTCTCCGGATCTTGGGGACGCACGCACACGCGCCTGGTGTGAGTTCTAAGCCACTGGGTCTGGGACTCAAACCGCTGTCGGCTATGTGAGAGTCCAGCAACATAAGCCACTACACTAACTGCTGGTTCCAAGGCATAGCTTCTTGAAAGTGTGGGACTGCATGCCCTACCACGAAGGAGACAAACCAGAGTAAGGAGACGCAGCTGTCCCATTTGGAAGTTTACATTCCCTTGGTATTGGGGCAGAATTCGAGAAAACATTTACTGGCTCATTCACAAAGTAGAACTCTCGTATCCCCAAACTATACCTTTGTTTCTCTGCATGTATGTAAAGTTCTTCCATGAAAGATCTTGAAGAATGAGTTAAGGTTCCTTTAAAGTACTTTAGTCGTCAGTGTCTCCACAGACTAGTATTGTATTTTCTAGGATACTTTGATTATAAATTAGGTAGGATTTTTCTTTTTCATGTTTCAGAAGGGCATGTTTAATATTTGAAAGGAAAAAAAAAAGAACTTTTGTATATCAGTCTAAATAAAACATCAGCTAAACAACTATCAAGATGTTTTATTATCAAAAAGAAAAAAAAGATGTTTTATTATCCTTGAAAAATTTCCTTCCTTACCAGAATATCTCCTCTGGTGAACAGAATCACAGTGGGGCAGGTGGCTCATAAGTGGAGGGTCTGTTTGTAGCAAAGTGGGAAATTTGGACAAGGTCTAAGTACATACTCTATTTCTACCTTATCATTTTCTTTGAACTACGTTTGATTCCTTGAGTGAGAACTCAACTGTTAGTCATCTGACCTAGGAGATATTGGCCAATCTTCACTAAGCAAAAGATTATTTCTGACTAGTACTTTTGAGACTTAACTGTGAAAACTGAATTTTAAATCATCTAAAAATAAATGCTAGGAGCTTTACCTATTTCCTAAAAATCAGGAAGAAAGCTCTCAAAAGAAAAAAGGAGTCAGTTACATTTGCTTTCTGTGGGTAGCTTCCCTTAGGAATATTTTTAAATAGTTAAACTTTCTCAGTCATTTTTTAAAAAAGAATTACGTATTATTTAATTCCATTTGTTATTATTATTTTTTTTATTTGACCAGACAGAGACAGAGAGAGAAAGAAAGGGAAAGTGAAAAAGCAAGCTGCCAGATCTGGGACTCGAACCATGGTCAGCCGTGTGGAAATCCAGCACCTTTAATCATCCTGTCAGGCCTTCTAGGTAGATTTTATGAAGATTACTATTTGATATAATTTTTAAATACTTGTAAAGTTAAAAAAAATCTTTTAAGGTTCTTAAAATTTTAACTTGTATTATATTACATTTAAAAAGAAATAGAGACTAGCAGGTGACATGGTAAGTGGTTAAAGGCACTGGACTCTAACATGGCTGACCTCGGTTCAAGTCCTGGACCTGGCAGCTTGCTTTCTCACTTTCTTTTTCTCTTTCTTGCTATCTTTCACTTTGTCCCTCTCTGGTCAAATTAAAACAAACAAACAAATAAACTTAAATAAAATCATTCTTAAAAAAAAATATGTGTAGGTATATAGTGAAATTTCCTGGGCCCCATGGCCTAGCAGTTGAGGGAGCTGGATCCCTCATGGCTGACAGTGGTTTGAATTTTGACCCTGATGGCTTGAAAATATGCTGAGATCATATGCATACATGCTCAAAATCCCAATAAGATGAAGAAATGGAGGAGAAGGGATTGTGGCATGACCAAGCCCCACTGGGGGGGTACTTTTTCCTTCTCTGTGTCTCCTGTCTCTCTCTGGTGAGTGCATGTGCCCTCTGGCAATTACAAAAGAAAGAGAGAAAGAAAGAAAGAAAAAGAAATTCTCCTTCAAAATTCTGTCCTCTAGCTTCCTGGATTCCATTCCAGGCTGGTATTGCATATAATAGTTTAGAAAAAGACAGAGAACAAAAACTAGCAAAAAGAGGCAAACAGGAAAACTCCCCAAACAAAATGAAACAAAGAACAAGCATTGGTGATGAGGCAGTTTTATGAGTTTGTCAGTCTGGATACGTGGATTTGTAAATCAATTTACAATTCCACATCATTAAATGATAGCAATAGTTTTTATTATGATACCTCTATTCATAGTAGAATAGAGCATTAAAACAAATAAACCAAAGTTCAACATGGATTGTTGTTATTTCTTTCCTGCAAGTATTTTAGAAAACCAGGAAATGCAAATAGTGAAAGCTGGGAGCCAAAAAAACTGTTGAGTCGAGTCCTTATGCTGGATCTGGTTCATGGTTATAGAGAGCCTGGCCCATGGAAGGCAGTCTTCAGGTATTTGGGGTTCAGAGACTATAGGAGACGCTCAAATGTGAAGAACCTTCACTCGCTTTCTAGCAAATCAAAAATAACTTATTGATGGAGAGCAACAGATGGCAAAACATCGAATAAACAATAGAAAAAAGAAACATCCAGGCATTCTGTTGTTCTAAGTTGAGAAAGCAAGGACACTCGGAGTGATGAGGGTTCTCTGGCTCAGTGCTGGGAGACACATAACTGTGTTTTCTTTGGCTACATGTGGAAGCCAGAAGGCAGTTTCATCTTAGCATAGTCCAGAACTGAAAGCATTTCTTTTCCTTGTAGACAATAGTGAGGTCAAGTGAGGTATGCCTGTAGTTGCTCTGTTACTTTTTTTTTTTTTTTTTGCCAGAGAAAAACAGAGAGGGAGAAAGCACCCTCCTCCATGGAGCATGGTCATGAATCCTTTTCCCTCCTTCCATCCTTTTGGGATTTGGGACATTTACACACATGTGCCTGGCATGTTTCTCAAGTTGTGGGGTCTGGGACTCTAACTGACTGCACGGTTGGCCATGGAGGATCCAGCTCCTTTAACTACGGGCCACGGAGCCAGCCCTCTCTGTTTACATTTCTAAAGAGGTTCTAGAAGCAGCGATTCTCCGTGGATTGTAGTCAGTGTATAAAATTTAAAAGGCTGTTTTTGTAGTTAACATGAATTTATAGATAAATATTAAAATGTCCATATGTTTTTATATTTGAAACCGTTTGTTAGTATACTATAGCTCTTTCGAAATGTGAGGAAATCGAGCAGATTTTATTTAGTTACACCAGTGTTAGTGTCTTATATTTATTTGGGTTTTGATTAATGATTTTATTTCATTTTAAGAGATCTTTTTGTCACATCTATTATGTTTAGCATGTACATATACCATGTTGCTTATTTTGGATTTGGCTCTACATTTTAGCATGCAGTTTATTGCCTGGCATATAGCAAGTGCTTCATAACTTTTTTAATCCATGAATTTAATGTATGGCTATTGTATTAAGATATTTTCTGATGTAATCGTTTTGATGGTTCATCTTTTCCCATTAGCCATTTATTTTTTAAAAAAATTAAAAGGAAATTATGATAAAACATCCTAGAAAGAAAATACTAATATTGGTTTGTGAAAATAAAAAATTTTGGAGAAGATAATAGACTGGTTGACACATTTAAGTATAGTTAACTTTTTGGGGAGTTGGATTGGAATGTAGGGAGCAAAAGAGAGTGAGTAATTTATATATAAGAACAAGGTAACTTATCAAAAATAGTTCCTAACAGAAATGCTAATAATTTATTTCTCCACATATCAGTGTTCTTTCTTGGAAACAAATTTGTCATATTGTCAATTCTTAGGTTATGATTGGGCTGTAAAATGTCTGAGTTACTAGCTCTCAAGCCCTCAAATACTCATGTTCAAACACAAAAGAAATTATGGCTGAAAGTTAGGTTTTATAGCTTGTGACACATCTTGAGAGTTAAGAGATGGGATTTGTCTTCTGTATAGTTACCATTGTGTCTGTGATTATACTAATTCTTTTTTATCCCCTCATTCTAGTCATACAGCTTATCAAGAAAGAAAATTGTGCACTACACCTGCTTTGACCAACGGAAAAGAGCAAATGCAGCATTTTTGATAGGTGCTTATGCTGTAAGTACTTCCTTCATGATTGTTTTCTATAATCAGGTCAGTGAAATGCTAACCTAAAAGCCAGACCACTGTTTTTTTAATGGGATTGGGAAATGGTGGAGATCATTAGCAGCTGGGAATTGATCTGGAATGGGAAAAGTATTAAAATATTATGAAAGAGTCCAAAAAAACTAAAACTAAACTAAACTATTGAGATGTTCTTTTTTTTTTTTTTTTTTAGGAAAGGAAATTGTAGGTTGCACAGGGGAGGATTATTATTGTTTTAAAGAATCAATTCATTCACCTGTCTAACTGTTTGCAACTGGCAAACTGAATAGAAATCCTATAGCTTCCCTGAAAACTAGCTAAGATGTTCTCAAAAATAATTTCCATTAGAAATTTTGTTGTCTATGGGACCAGCAGATGGCATAATGGTTACATTGCTGGGCTCCCATGTAGTTGACCATGGTTCAAGTCCCAGAGCGGTTGGCTTAAAACTCATGCCAGGCATGTGTGCATGCATGCTCAAAATCCCAAGAGGAAAATGGAGGAGAAGGGATTGTGGTGTGGCTATCCCCCCTGGGGAGTGATTTCTCACTTTCTGTCTCTCTGTCTCTACAGTGAGCTCATAAGCCCTATAGCAAACATTGCTCTTAAAAAAATAAATTTTGTTGTTGCATGCAGTAAAATAGTGTGAATTTCATGTGTGCATGCTACAGAACTTCGGATGTTTCTGAAGTTCTCTGCATGTGCTGGGATTGGGCAAAGACTTAGGCGGCCGAAACGATCAGGACTAAAGTGTAATAGCTTTTCAGGGGTGTGTGTGATACTCAGTAGGAACAGGCTGGTTTAAAGGCAGGGTGACTAGAGGGGCCATTTTCCCTCATCCTTAGGGAGGGCTGGCATGTGTCTGAAACCTGGAGCCACGCTGCTATGTGACGTTTCAAGAACCTTGTTCTGAAGACCTTGACAGAAGGGGGCCCCAGCTTCTAGACATCAAACTGCCACATCAGACCAGAAGTTCCAGGGGTGGGCTTGAAAGGCTGCCAGCTGTTGCAGGGTACAGGCTGGGAGGAGAGGCAGGCATGCAGCCAGACTGCAGGTCAGGGTCCTATTCTAGGACTGAGCTGCCCAGCTCTACCTTCTTTCCCTCCCCTGATGTGTTGCAGTAAAGCTTTGAGTTACCACTTGTGGCACTTTTCCTTGCTCATGGACTACAGAGGACAGTACAATTAATATTGGTAAGGAATCAGAAAAACTGAAGGTGTTCATTCCTAAAAGGGTTCTGTGATAATGAGTATGCTGTTTTATCTCTCATATCTTTACTTGTTTTTTTTAATCTGTAAAAAAAAATCTGAGAGGGTTAGATTTCCTTCTAGTTCTTAGCACGTCAGAATGAACTGTGGCACCAGTCAGGCTAGTGGTGTTATTTTAAGAGCATATCTGAAAGCTGGTTGTTGGCAGGAAGGTTCAGTGAAGTGCTGGTAAGTTGAGTTAAGCAGGCTTGCTTATTTCCTACTTTGCATTGATAATTACTACTCACTTGAGACCCATAATTGACCCTGGGGTTGAAATATGTAGAGGGCATCTACCAGTCTCTGGAGTCAAGCCATGTAAAGACGTGTGTCTTTCCTGCAGGATTTGGTCGTGCTTTGAGAGCATGTTGTCTGTGGGTCCCTTGTCACAAAGGATTTGCCACCAGGAAGTCATCTGATGCTTTTCTTTCTTCTTTCCCTTTCACTCCCTCATTTCTTCTCTCTCTTCTTTCTTTTTTAATGTCCGTTCTGTGCATTTTGCTTAGGGTGGCCCTTCCTTTTAGCAGGGCACCTCTAGCATTTGAAATGAAGTTTTGTGATTGTATTTGGAGGCACTGAGCTTGTGATCAAATACTCCATAATAAAATACATCTTCTAATGCAGACGTTTCCACCACTCTGAAGTAATCAAAGGGAGAAAACGTTGTCTTGACATGGGGCTAGAAATGCCGAGGACAGCAGGAGCTTGTCTTACATTCCAATTACAGCTCTGAGGAACAGTGTAGAGCGACTACTCTCGGATTGGTCATTCCCAATTGATTTTCTTTTCTGATTTTGGACATGCGTTCCCTAGAGAGCTTTCGACACAAACCTTAATAAAAAGAAACAACTGTAGTCTTTCCTAAAGAGAATATTCTACTTATTCTACCTGAATGCATTTGATTGTTGACACAAGTTTTATAAGAAAATGGTTAATAATGTGCATTATACATACATCTCCTTAAATTCTACATATTTTAATGCTGCTAGTTAAATAAGTCTAAGTTTTGGGGGGCAATTTTTCTTAAAGGAATTATTTAATTTATTACGATTCTTTTTTTTAAAAAAAATATTGACCAAAGAGAGACAGAGAGAAATAGAAAGTGAGAAAGCTAGCCGTCTGGTCTGGGACTGAAACCTCAGTTGACCATGTGGGAGTCCAGCACCTTAACCATCATTCTACCTGCTGGCCCCAGTGGGGCGATCTTTACAAAGAACTTTTTATCTTTGCAGCAGCCACGTAGCCTGCATGGCGTGTCAGTCCAGTTTGTGTCTGTTGTAACAGAATACCATAGACAGAGTCATTTATAGACATAAATGGTCTTCTAGTCTTACCTTCACAAAGATTTTTTTCTCACATTCTACCCTTTTATCTACACCCCTGGTTACCCATTAGCCTCTTGCTGCTTTATTTATTTATTTTTATTTTTACAATGCTCTCCTATTTGATACCACCTTGTTTGTTTATGCATTTACTTATTGTTTCTTTCCAAGACCGGAGGGTAGAGAACTGCTTTGTCGAGAGGGTGATAAACTATTGAACAAGGGGTTAAGCCCAGGCATTTTCTCGTTGAATTGGAAGCTGGCCACAAAACTGGGGCAGGGTCCTAGAGGCTTCCTGTTGTGCTCATCATGGGGAAGTTGAGAGTGGGCAGTGTGGAGTGTGGCAGGGCAACAGCTGTTCACCAGCTTGTCTGGAACTGTTTGAACACTGAGTGTCAGCTTAGAACTGTGCCTGGTGCATGGTGCTTGATAAATATCTGTTGAATGAATGAATAACTGGATGACAAAATGTGAAAGAACAAAAGATGGTAACATATAGAGAGCTCCTCTGAAAATAATCGAGTAAAGTGGTGTCTTCCTCCTTTCTAGCAGCAGTCTATTTGTAGTAATGACTGAGTCAATTGTGGTCTTAACAGGTGCAGAATCAAACAAAAGATCTAGATCAAGGGGAGTACCTGGTATACAGTCAGATCTCTATTTTTCTCTTTTAAATAAACTTGTGTTTACCCATTTTGAAATTGTGGTAAAATACACAACATGGCATATACTGTCAACCACATTTAGGTGTACAGTTCGGTGGTGTTAAGCATTCTCATATGGTCATGCAGTCATCACCATGCCTTACTTTTGAGTGTGACACCTCGGGCAGACAGGAAGCAACCAGAGCCAGGGCTTTGCTTGTTGGTTTCTTTGTTAGTATAGGGGCTGGCAGGTGGCATGGTGGTTAATGTGCTGGGCTCGTATGTGGCTGACTGCAGTTCGAGTCCTGGACCTGGTGGCTTGCTTTCTCGTTTTCCCTCTCCCTCTTTCACTCTGTCCCTGTCTGGTCTAATTTAAATAAATAAATAACTAAAGTTAAATAATTGTAAAAAAATCCAAAAACAAAACAAAAAACAAATGAAAATGACTTCAATATGTCACAGAAGCTTTCCTGTTTCTGTTTTCTTATCCCTGGGTCAGGGAGAGACTTTAAGAAGTCATAGATCCGTCAAGAGGAGATAACCTGTAGACTCGTGTTTAGCAGGGAATCCGCAGAGACAGACACTCTTCCCTGGGGGTGGTCTTCCACCAGGGCTGCAGAGATGATGTGGCCACTGGAGAGCACAGTGACACTGAGCGGATGACGCACACCCATTTCAGGGAATTCCCAGCTGGTGAGGCATCTTTTGCATTCCCTTCGTTGTGACCTTGTGCTTGAGACGAAGGTTTCAGATTTCAAGAAGAGATGAACTCTGCTGGGAAGTTGTTTTCCTTCCTGAGCAACCCTCCGTGCAATTTTAGGGTTAGGATGCTTAAATCATCAGAGTATCTAAAATGCTCTCACAAGAGTATGAAGAATACGGCTTTAAAAATTCTATGTATGAATTACTTAGGTTTTTGTCAGGCGCCTAAAGACCAGTCCTCACTGTACCTGCATTACCACTTTATTTCCAGGTCACAGGGTCGGAAGGAATTTGGATCGGGATAAAATGACTAAGAATTAGAAGTAACATATGTGAAGAGAAGTTAAAATAATGATGTTTGTTTCATTTAAAAAATTAAGTTCGGAATGAAAGTTCATTTTTTTTTAGATGTGTGTAGGATGCTTAAACTGAGGTGGAAGCCACGTTGTATTTTCCTTAACAACGTCGGGAGTTGAGTCTTTGCTTTGCTAAACGAGGGGTCTACATTATGGATGAACTGGGACTAGCCTCATCCTGAGGTCTTGTCTGAATTGAGGATGACAAGACTGAGGTTTGTAGACTTTCTAACCACGTCTGTGTCTGCTATTTATTTTGTAGACTATACTTAAGGCCTGAATAGTTATATTCTGCTGCTAAATCTACTACTAATTGCAAAGAAGCCGTTGGCCATCGGGTGCAGGGGTTATGAGCGATGACTTTAGCATAGCCACAGGTGTGGCTTTGAACCTACCTGTTAGGATGTCTGGGGCAAGGTATTTAACTTATCCAAACTTCTATTTTTTTTCATGTCTAGAATAGAGATAATAATACCCTGTCTAGCAGAGCTGTGGTGAGGACTGTAGAAGAACACGCATTTAAAGGTGTCATCGGTACAGGTCTGGCTGTAAGCACTCAGTAATACCTGGGCTCTGGGCAGGGACTCTGTGTGGCCTTCTGAAAACTTTTCTGAGCCAATTTCCTGTCTCCTATTTCCTGTTGTTGTGCATAGACTTTTCGTCCACCCCCTATAGATCTTATGACTGCTTTGCCCCCTCTTTGTC